CAAACACGTATCCGAACTCCGCTTCGCGTCGTTCGTATAACTGTGTTTGCGTGCGGAAAAGTAACACTTTGCGCACTTGTTAGGAAAATAACTATTTCCTACAGCCGTGCGGAAAAATCGATTTTCCGCACTGATAAACGTGCGTAAAATGAGTTTTCCCGCGCGGTGCGGTAAAACTTTTACCGCACGCATATCAGTGCGGAATAGTTATTTTCCTAACAAGTGCGGAAAGTGATACTTTCCCGCACGCGACTGCCGTTGACCCGAACGACGCGAAGCGGAGTTCGGGCAAGCGGGCAAGACACTTTCCGCATGAGTTAGGAACATTTTTTTTTCTACGAGCGCGTTCAAACATAAAAACAAAAACTAAGTAAATTCAAAGCGATATATTATTAAAGAAATTTAATTACAAAATTACTTATTTTTATATTTTTACGTTTACTTTCAAGAATGATTGAAAAATATTATGTATTAAATCGATTTGATGTTACAATAAACAAAATTTCTAAGGTAAAAGAACTGCCCCGTCTCAAAGGAACCAAAAAGTCAAACAATCTCAAAAAAAAATAATAACATTTTTGAAATATTCACAAATTAGATTAATATGGATTAAAATAGAAAATAGGAATATTCAAAATAGTTTATGAGCGCATAATAGTAAATTTAGCAAAAATGTAGGCAGACAAAATAGATAAAATGTTTGATTAATTGACAAAACTGACACTTCTTCTGAACGCCACTTTCCCGCACTAGTGCGGGAATAGAATTTTCCCGCACTACACCATTTCCAACAGTATTTCAAAATGGGTCAAATGTATTTCAAAATAATCACTTTTATTTCAAAAATGGATATTTTAATTTCCAATTTGTCACTTTTATTTCCAAATATATCATTTGTATTTCAAATTAATCAAATGTATTTCAAACTGTATCATTTATACTTCAAAAAAAATCAGATGTATTTCAAAATCATCATTTCTTATATCATCAAAAACTGTAAGGGAGGTACAGGGTGTCTGGTTATAATTTGATTTTTTTAACTGTACGATATAAACACATACTTTATTTTTTAACCGAATTGGTAATCTTTGAAATAAAACTGACCATTTTTGCAATACATTTCAATAATTTGAAATACATTTGATGTATTTCGAAATAAAATTCATAAAGATTGAAATCAAATTTACGCTTTTTGATATTCAAATGATGATTTTGAAATACATTTGATATTTTTTTAAATTAAAGTTTTTATTTTGAAATACATTTGATGCTTTTTGGAATCAACTTTATCTATTTTGAACTAAAAGTGGAAATGGTGTAGTGCGGGAAAAACAAAATCGCGCACTAGTGCGGGAAAGTGACATTTTCAGAACTAAGATGCGTACGGGAAAGTAATAAAAAATGCACGCTCGTAGAAAATAGTTATTTTCCTAACAAGTGCGGAAAGTGATACTTTCCCGCACGCGACTGCCGTTGACCCGAACGACGCGAAGCGGAGTTCGGGCAAGCAGTCGAGTGCGGGAAAGACACTTTCCGCATGAGTTAGGAACATTATTTTTTCTACGAGCGCGTTCAAATATAAAAACAAAAACTAAGTAAATTCAAAGCGATATATTATTAAAGAAATTTAATTACAAAATTACTTATTTTTATATTTTTACGTTTACTTTCAAGAATGATTGAAAAATATTATGTATTAAATCGATTTGATGTTACAATAAACAAAATTTTTAAGGTAAAAGAACTGCCCCGTCTCAAAGGAACCAAAAAGTCAAACAATGTCAAAAAAAAATTATAACATTTTCACAAATTAGATTAATATGGATTAACATAGAAAATAGGAATATTTAAAATAGTTTATGAGCGCATAATAGTATATCTAGCAAAAATGTAGGCAGACAAAATAGATAAAATGTTTGATTAATTAACAAAACTGACACTTCTTCTGAACGCCACTTTCCCGCACTAGTGCGGGAATAGAATTTTCCCGCACTAGTGCTGGAAAAACAAAATCGCGCACTAGTGCGGGAAACTGACATTTTCGGAACTAAGATGCGTGCGGGAAAGTAATAAAAAATGCACGCTCGTAGAAAAAAAAAATTTCCATACGGCTGTCAGTGCGGAAAAAAATTTACCGCACTGATATGTCAAAAAAGAAAAATTTTACATTTTTACGCCTGTAGGAAAAATATAAGAATTTAAAAAATTAGTGAAGAATGAATGAATAACATCAAACAAGTTGAATTAATAATAATCAAGAAAATGAGGACTACCCAAAGTAACTCGTCCGCCTAATGAGATCTCTAGTCTTCGCAAGTTAACATTTAATTTGAAAAACAGAGCGCGTTCAAAAGGACGCTATACACTATAACTATGATTAACTAACTTTTTTTTTAAATGGTAACGTACTTACGAGGGCTAGATTGCACTAGGAGGACGGGTTAGTTTGGTTTAATTTGAGTAGGTCTGCATTTTCTTGAATATTATCGTTAATATTAATTCAATTTGATACTTATGTCACTGTTTTGTTCAGCAGATATCGCTGCTTTTAATTTCGCGCTCTTTCAACATGTCGCTCTTTTGATATGTCGCTGAAAAACTGACTTCAGATTCGTGGTCAGCAACCGAAAATATACATTTGTGCAAAAAATTAGCGAAATCGCAGAAGATAGAACACACGATTAGTGTATTAAAGTATAAGTGGATATTAATAACAGCACGACGGCGCAGCCGGAGTGCTCGAAATAGAGCAAGTGTTTTAACCCGCCGTCACTGACGCCTCATTTTTTTACACCATCGCTAGCGGGTTAGATTTCATCTAACATCCATTTCTTTGCAATAAAACTATTATTTTGCAATCAGAGGTTTGGTAAATTAATTAAATTGATTTTTAATAATTTTATATAAATGTTGTTTCAATAGAAACAACAAAATACAAATGATACAAATTGAAAATCTATAAAAATAAACAACATTTTGACACACGCCGTCACTCGCGTCGTTAGATTGTTCCTAACATTCACACGCTCGCGTGTTAGATTCGCACTAACAATATGTCGTTTTGGCACAAAAACAGAACAATCGCCCAGTCGACTATACATGCGTGTAGTAGGTGGAGTCATAAAAGCATTCCTGAATACACGGCAAAAATAATGAAAAATTGTAGAAATTATGACAAATTTTCAAAAAATGTTAGATTTTTTCTAGGGACGCTAGCGATGGCGGGTTAAAGACCAGTTATCCACGAATACTTTACACTATTTTTTTATATAAATTACTAATAATTATTGTAGAATGCTAAATTCCTGCTCGACACTTGTTATATTTTATTTGACGTTATCTACAAGTACCTAACCTACTGCTGACAAATCCATAATTAGGCAATCCAACGACCTGTCCAAATGGCGTCTGGTTGGCAAACAATAAACAAAAAACATATGTTTTTTTTTTGGCAGGATTAAGCCTAGTACCCATAACAGCGAAATTCGCTCTTTTTTGACATTGCTTCGATAATTTGACGTTTTATGCGTGAATCAAACGTCAAATTGTCGAAGCAATGTCAAAAAAGAGCGAATTTCGCGATTATTATGAGTACGAGGCTTTATCAATACACGGAGCGAGTACTCAAATCTGACACTTTTCTGACATCGTTGACATGTAACAATCCGTATTCTAACCTCACAAAAATTTCAAAATGCCGGTGCCGGCTGGTTGGCAAAAGTCACGTGGTTTGGATTCCCTAATTAAAAAGTTGACATTTAGACTTATTTGGGTTGTTGATGTTGTCATGATAACTTTAAAACACGCGCGTTTTTGAATGTTGGATTTAAACACGCTGAGGCGTACTTTAAATAAGTAAAATAGGTTATCAATAAAAAAATAGCTATTTATACAATAAGTTACGAAATGAGCGTCTTTTAGGCACGCGACGTGAAAATTGTCCAACGAGGCAAAGCCGAGTTGGACAACACGTCGAGTGACTAAAAGACGTCGTTTCGTAACGTATTGTATACAAGATTTTTTCTACTGGCATTTTATAATAAAAAACACAATTTTATTTCATGTGAATAAGTCGATTACGCCCAAAATCTTTGTTACCTGCTTTTACTTGACACCTGACACTATTCATGCGATTTTTTTTTCAAGATTCGACATCAATAATTAAAATCCTAGAAAGTAGGTAACAACACAAAGTTCTGTTTTGAGTAACCCAAATGTTCAATTCGGTAATTCCATTTTCAATATTCATAATAAATGCAAAACAAAATTCAAATCTGTGTTTAGTGTGTTTTTTATTTCTGAATAATGGATGACACTTTTAGGCACTAGTGCTTAAAAATTACTTTTACGCACTCTAAAGTCACTTTTACGCATTCAAAAGTCACTTTTACGCACTGAGTGTTTAAAAGTAACTTTCACGCACTCAGTGCTTAAAAGAATGTTGTTTTAAAACTAAAATGACAATCGAAAAGTTGCTATTATGAAACGTCAGTAGAAAAAAATATTTTTTTTAATTGATAACCTATTTCACTTGATTAAAGTACTCCTCAGCGTGTTTAAATCCAACATTCAAAAACGCGCGTGTTCTAAAGTTACCAATGACAACATCAACAACCCGAGAAAGGTCTATGTCAACTTTTTGATTATTGATTTGTCAGGAGTAGGTACTTGTAGATAACGTCAAATAAAATATAACAAGTGTCAACGAATTTAGCATTCTATAATTCTATAATTATTAGTAATTTTTGATTTGAACGTATAAGTACCAATAAAAAAAAATTGTGTAAAGTATTCGTGGATAATTGGTCTTTAAAACACTTGCTCTATTTCAAGCGAGTTAATATCCACTTATACTTTAATATACTATATAGACCTTGATGGATAGATATCTCGGAAATGAAACGCGAGCAACAAAAAATTTGTAATAGCGATCAAAAATATACCTTCCACAAAAACTCATCAAATTCGGAGAGGGTAACGGATAATAAATAATTACCTACCTCTTAACTTTGTGGCTGTGCTTAATGGGGTATACAAACTGAATAAATAGACCGGCTTTTCCCCGCCAACAGTTTTTGGGCAATCAAAACGAAACGAATCAAAACAACTTAATGAAGTGAGGAAGAAGGAACACATCACATGACATGCATCAACATCAAACTTAACCCACAACTGCGCACCGCACAGAACCAAACCAACTCAACCGTGCGGTTTTCATTGTGCAGATTTAGGTATTTTCCGAGTTATCTTAGAACCACTCCGGAACGGTCAGGAGGAAACTCCAGACAGTTTCGAACTAGTTCTACGTTCTACCGATACCAAAAAATTCCAAATATTTTTAATTTCAACTTGCGAATTCGAATCGTAAATTTCATATAGTAGCAATCTTAATCTTTTTACATCTGCGAGTGACTCGCACTTTTAAGCGGAGCGGTGCCTTCTTTTTAGTAGGTGCTTTCAACCTATGAACTTCCCCCCTTTCCTCTAAAAACCACGGCTTTACACTCGGTAAACTCCCCGTGTCTAGCTACAGTGGCTAAATAAACCTTTACAGTGTGACAACTGAATAAAAAACAAGCTATAAATCCACAAACCGCGTTAAAAAAACTTTATTCGTGTCGAAAATATGGAATTTTGAATTTGATATTTGGTCTAAAAGTCTGTATATGTTCGAGTGTCCAGCAGAGTTTATGCCTTTGTTGTATTCCTTTCAAGAGCTTGAAGCACTCGAGCTACTCGCTCCGGTGTTCAGTCGCCCCCGATTTGCAGGGAACAGATGCGTGGTGCAACAAACACTTTTCGAAAGGAATAAGCGCGTGAAGCCCCGGAGCTGTTCCGGAGCTCCTCCTAGGTGAAAAAGGAATACAACTAAAATCTGTTTTTTATTTGAAGATGAAAGTCAAAATGACAATATGTTGGCAATACAATGTAAAATTGTCAATTGATCATATTAGTTAGGTTGAATCGCAAATTGGCGCGGGTTCCTAGTTCAAAAATTAATACATTGATGTCTTATGGGGACTCAATTTTAAAAGCGTTTGTAGACGTGATAGAACGTTTGTTAGGGAAGTGAGTGGTATAAATAGTTTTTTTAATATGTTAATTAACTGAGAGAGTGTTTGAAAGTTGAATAAACATTGTTAAAATAAAAATATTACCAATTTAAGAAGCCGATATTTGTATAAAATACGTATGTCGTTGCTTGATCCATAAGTATATATGAGTACCTAATTATAATAAAATAAAAGTTTACCTACATACTTGGTTAGTAAATGTACTTCAATAATCCAAAAAAATTGAAAAATAAATGACTGAACTAGTGATAAATAAATAAATAAACAATTCACCAACAATCATAACACAACACACAACCTCACTTTCTCTCAGCTGGTTTTAGACCCGACGTACGTCCACCGAAAACAGACACTTTTAATTAAAATCATTTGTATTTTTAATTCATAGGTCTAAAAAACCAATTAGAGCATAAATTATAGAGAAATATGTTCAAAGTTTGATGTACAATAGGTTCCAATACTAAGAAATGCCCAGAACCCAAGATATTCCCGTCTGAAAATCACTCTTTTGAATCCCCCATAAGAAATACATTGCTGTCAAATTTGTTGAAATGTGTTTAGGAACCCATTTTAAATTTCGCGCCCGATTTTTCCTAACCTAACTAATATGAGCCGATTAAACGCGATGGAATATTGATAACCGCGGTTATATCTTTGGTCAAGAATCGTAAACTCTACAGGATTGCTCAATCGGCTAAATTTGTTCACAATTGCTGTGACGTCACGCGCATGCCGGATTTTCAAGATGGCCGCTGATACGAATGATGTTTAGTTTGTGCTGACAACTATTTTATCGTAAATTCGGATTTATCTAGTGTTATAAGTGTAAATTTAAAGTTTCATTTAATGTGTGTAAGCATAAAAGACTCGTGGCTGAAAATACTCGCGAAAACCCCAAGCATTTTCTGGTTTTATAATACTGGATTTGTTGTATCAGGACATCGCTCTTTTATTTGTGTGTGTTAGTATTTCCTAGTCAAGCATTTGTTTTGCTTTTTTTTTATAAATCAAATATCTACTTAGTTGTAAGTTTCCTTTGCATGTAATTACTAATAAAAATTAGGGTTTGTGAAGAGTGAATAAATAAATATGTAAATAAATTCCTTTACTGGCGCGTTTACTATGAAAACGCATGGAAAATATGGGAAACTTGCAATGTTTTTCTGGAATATGATTATGAGAATCTAAATTAGGTATCACTATTTGGCTTTGTGAAATAAGCTCACTTTGAATGTCCATATTAAATTGTTCTAGTACCTATTAAATTAATGAATAATAATTGAGAAGTACCTAGGTAGGGTCAGTAAAAAATAAAGCACACTATTGCAACCCAGTTTCGCTTATATTTTGATATTGAAATGCAAAAATTAAACCGGCTCGGCACCCCACATTTGGTTTTCTACTGTTTCTCAACTGTAGTCAATTGTGCCCGTTTTGTGCTCAATTGTGCCAGTATTTATGCGAATTGTGCTCATTTTCATACACAAAAAAAACATTGAAACGAATCCGGGGGCCAGCTTGACTCCAGCCCTTCGTTTTTTTGACTTTTTGGCAATATGTTTGGCTAATTGATAAACAAAAGCAAACAAACTCGTCTTTCTAATTAGCAATTAGCCAACCACTCAAGCCTCAAGGACACAAGCTTTTGAAGTCTGCTAATTTTAAAATCAATAAATTAATTACAAAATACAGTTTTCAAAGGAAATAACCTCAAAATAACAATTTTTTACATTTGAAATTGCAAGGATAGTGCACTGTCATAAAAAACACAAACCGATCAAGGACTGCGTGACGTCATTCGCATACCGCCATCTTCGATGTTTTTATGAACGTTTGTCTTATGGGATTGAGCAATCCTGTAGAGTTTACTATTCTTGATCTTTGGTCAGTCCTTTAGTTAGCCTTGAATCAGCGATTGTCGACCCTTTTTGATTAACCTGAGAGAGCTCGCGTTTATGCTATGGTTATTTCGTCAACCCCATTTTTTTTGTTTATTCTGTTCTGTTGTGTCTTGTGATTGTTTTTTGTTAAATTTTTACTTGAAGTACCTACAGTACTTAATTATTATTTTCATTATTTGGTGAAGTTTAGTGTTGACCTAGATCAAATCCTCAAAGATTGATTTTCCGATTAGTTCGAAGTTCATTTTTTGGGGTTGCACAAAAAAAAACACAACAGAACAACGAAAAACCCGTCAAAATCCGCCATTTCGGGTATTTCTCCTTATATACTTTTTCAGACAAGGACAGAACATAATAACCTAGCTCCAAAGGTAGGTTAAAAATGGTTGAACCAAAGATAAAAACAGCTGATTTAATACGTCACAAAGGGCCAAATGATGACGTCACTACGGAATGATCAAAAATAACCAAAACCGCGTTTACGTGAATGGTTATACCATTTTTGACTCGGTTATTAATATTCCATCGCGTTTAATCGGCTATGGTCAATTGCTTTCAAATTTTTTATGTATAAAAGGCTTGTGCTGCCAACATAGTTACTAAATTTTTGACTTGGGGAATTATCTTTAAAAACAAAACGGACTTGTGCAAAAGTACCTGGCGATAGACACGTGGGTTCGGATTTCGGAATCCGGGCTGCTGCACCTTCACTTGAATTGTATCGTAGCAGAATGGCTCGTGGCTCGTTCCTTCTCAATGTTTGTAGGACAGGACAGCGCTTTACCTGCTCTAGGACGACAATTGACCTTTTCAATTTAAAAGCCTTTTAGTTTTAGCCACTTAGTTGAAGGAAAGTCGTCAAAAAATTCTGGCAACACTGGGACCGATCTCCTTAGTCACTATATAAAGGGAGTAAGTATAGGCTACATTTTTTCTCGGAAAACAAAATTAATTTTTTTTTATTGATAACCTATTTCACTTATTTAAAATACTCCTCAGCGTGTTTAAATCCAACATTCAAAAACGCGCGTGTTTTAAAGCTACCAATGACAACATCAACAACCAACAACCCGAGAAAGGTTTAAATGTCAACTTTTTAATAATTGATTTGTCAGGAGTAGGTTAGGTACTTGTAGATAACGTCAAATAAAATGTAACAAGTGTCAGGCACGAATGTAGCATTCTACAATTATTATGGCCGTTTCCACCAACGCAAACTTAAGTTTACTTAACGTTAAGTGCCGCTTACATTTTAATTTTTTTTCCACCAGTCTCACCTAGTCTCATTAAGATAAGCTTAACTAAGCCCAGAAATGTCTTGGCTTATTCCTCCCTTAACAAAGTGGCGATGATAAGCGCAAGCATTTGCATAATATGTTTTTGTTGGCATAACAAACGTTGAAATTGAATTGAGATAATATTAGAATTTTCTCAATTTTCTAATTTCTGATGTAGCTCGCGTTTTTTTTTTCTCCCAAAGCCTATTTTTTTTCGGCCGTGTTTTTTTTATTTTCGATTATGTTCTTGTTTTTTGATGTTAACGATATTATCAGCTCTTTTTCCTTTATTGTATAGTTTGATGTCGGCTTTTTTTAGGGCTTCGCAAGACCAAGATCAAGACCAAGACTGGCCAGTCTTGGTCTTGGTCTCGAAAAATAAATGCGGTCTTGGTATTGGTCTTGGTCTTGATGTTTCAAGACCGAGGCAAGACTGGCTCAGTCTTGGTCTTGGTCTTGATAGTCTGGGTCTTGGTCTTGATAGTCTTGAAAAAAAAATTTATACCAAATTTTTAAAATACACATAACATCTAACGACAAAGCAGAGATAATGGGTTTAGGACTTCAAAAATAAGAAATAAACCTCCTTTCCTGAAAAAATTATGCCGACGTTTCGACCATGCATTTGGTCTTCTTCACAGGCTATTTTTACCACCAAGAGCGTTCCATGTCAAAAAAATACTGCATAAAGCATTCCACAACACAGAGGAACAAACAAACATCAATTCATAAATTATAATTTTTATTAACGAAACAGGAAAGTCGACAAAAACATCATGAAATTGAAATTGCCATTCTGTACCGAGGAAAAAAATAGATTTCTTTTTGAACCATACATTAAACCTACCTTACCTACCTGAGCATTCAGGCCAGAGAAAGGTTTTCGAAAACCTTCACATATTCACATACCTCATTT